GGGGGGTCCCGGGGGAGCCGTGCTGGGGAGGGCTGAGCTTCTGCTCTGTTCTGACCCCAGAGAGCGGTTGTGCGTATGGATGAGCGCCGGGAGGAGCAGATCGTGCAGCTGCTGAGCGCCGTCCAGGCGAAGAGCGACAAGGAGCAGGAGGCCATGTCCTGGTGGTCTGGGGACGAAGACGGGTGAGGAGAGCCGCTTACTCGTGCTTTTGTTTGCTTGGAGCTCTGCAGAATTCCCACAAACTGGCGGGAAGATGTGTCTGAAAAGATCTACCTTTAGTGAGTGAGTTAGGTTAACAAATCTACTCACTTTTTCCACAAGTATCGTCATACTGAAGCGGTGGTAACCGTTGCTGTGAATATCCCTGATTATTGTTGAGTTCGGGGTGTTAAATTTCTACTTACAATCATTAAATCCTGTAATTGCACTCCAGGCCTACTAGAGTAGATACATGGAATTTTTAAGCGCCCCTGGCCACTGGAATCACTCTTCCAGAGGTGGCATTTGGCTTCGTTGTTCGGTTACTGCCCAGTCTTGGAACGTGGTCTCGGCCTCCGTGAGGTAGAGTCTGCTCTGGACACTAAAAGGATTTAAAGTAACAGCAGTGAGATGGGCGCTGAGGCGTGTGACTCTGCGTCCGCTGAGGTGAGGTGTCCGGGCCGCCGCTTTGCGGAACGGTCCGGGTACAGGGCAGTGGTTCTGACAGCGGGTGAAGCGGTGGTTCTGTTTTGTTCCTTTGTTAGCGTCGTTTAATACAAAGGAACGTGTTACATTTCTAGAAACTGATGTGACATTTTTGATGGCTGGTAGTTTTCAGACTTTAATTGTTTTAATGACATACACCATATCCTCATCAGCTGATGGCCAGGTAACTCCTGGATGCAATGTCTCCAAACCAGATTAAAGGTTTCCCTGGAATGGTTCGGTGTGCCCTTCACAGTGGCCGAGCACATCCTGGGTAATCTTCCAAGTGTCTGTTCTCTGCTGTTATTTCAGCCCGACTCCAGAGCAGCCTGCGAAAGTGAAAACAGATGCTGAAACACCTCCTGTCAGGCAGAGACTGGTCTTGGAAAAAACATCTCTTGATCGGGATGTGGAATATCTCTTTGAAACAAATGAGCAAGATACTGATTTAGATGAGCAGCTTAAAGAAGACTTAAGAAAGAAGAAGTCTGATCCCAGATATATTGAAATGCAGGTACTTGTCCATGTGCAGGTGCTTGTCCATGTGCAGGTGCTTATCCATGTGTGAAGTAGAAAGCTTTTGTTGGATTTTTTTTTTTTTTTTTTTTAATTAAACTAACCAGAAAACAGAACTTCTTGCAGTCTATTTACTAGGAAGGTTTCATATCGTTACCTTGGCTAAGAATTACCTTCAGAATTTACAAAATGTGTACCTATCAGTAGGGCAGCAGTTAAAAAGCAGGCTTTCAGTGCATGAAATCTAGAATTTTAAGCTTACCCATTGTTTCATTGGGTGGGATTTTCCGTTTGATGTTTAGCAGATTTTATCCCTGTGTTTATGTGTAAAACCGAAAGCACAAAAGTGGGCTCTGCAGGAATTGCCGCTTAAAACGTTTTTTTATGTTCTAATAGCCATATATAAAGTTGTCAGATAATACAGTCCTGCCACAAGCAGGTGGTTCTCCTTTCGATACAGGGCCCTGGTCTTGCAGCGATATGTACCTCCATCTTCATGTGCTGAACTGTTGGGTTGAAATAATTTTGCTAAACTTAATGAAACTGAAAACATGCGTGGAATTAAACTTCTTTCTAGTGGACCTGTGTTTGTGTAGGTATTAGCCGAACAGTTTGTCATGTTATTTCTCAGTTTAGCCTAGGTTATAGATGAAAGCTGTTATATTACTTCGTATCTTTAAACACCTCTTCAACAGTGTGCTGTTACTTTCTTTTTCCCCAGAGATTCCGAGAGAAACTCCCTTCATATGGAATGAGACAGGTAAATGTGTATTTAATATGAGAGAATACGTGGTTTTGTTGCCCTGTTGTAAAATAGGAGAAAATGGTTGTGTACCTGGGACTCGCAGGGAACCTTTGTTGCCTTTTATGAAGCTGCTGAAGCTTCCCAAGTTCTGACTCTGGGTTTGACTTCTTTCAGAAAGTAACTGAGGTTCACTGCTTCCTGCTATGTATGGGGTTGCTCAGCGCTACATACAGTTTTGTCAGCAGTGGCAGCATCATTCACGGGAATGGATTTGAATGCTAGATACACTAAGTAATTTTTTTTTTTTTTTTTTTAATTTTCATGGCATCAGAAGTCTAGGTCTTTTCTTCTTTCTCTGCCAGTTGAACTTCTAGAATATTCCTAACTACTTGGATCATGGGGTTTTTGTTATTTTTTTCTTTTGTATGTAATACAAAATTGTGGCCATTTGTTGAACATTTGCCCAATCTAGAATTGAATATAATGCAGATTAAACCTTTTTTAATCACAGACTTTATGGTTGTGTTGCTGGCTGCTACTGCTGTTAATATCCTGGTCAGAATATAAAAATCAGTGACAGTATGGGTTGTTATTATTAATTGTGAATTCTTCATTGGATGTTACCTGTATGAAATGGATATTAGGAGTATTCTGCAATGTTTTGTTCTGCAGGTTCAATGAATGGTTAGTGAGCTTCCTTTGTGAAGTTAGCGTATCTGTCATGACGTGGTTATTCCTGTTAGTTTCTTAAACCAGTTACACCCTCCTTTGCAGTCCTTTGGCCTGGGGGTAGAGGCTGTGAGTGTAAGCAATCTGTTACTGTCGGTATAAGAAACGTTAAAATGTTGCGCAGTTAGTACAGTCTTGCCATCGGGCAGATAACTCCTGTTCTCAGTCACCAAAGATACAGGGGAGGCAGGCAGGAGGGAGAAGAGCTAAAAAGTGTATTTCAGGCTTTCATTTTAGTTATTTTCATATAGAATCTTAAGTATTTAAAGCTAGTATTCAGATTTTATATGCTTTAAACCTTATACATGTGAAGTGCAAATGTGCAGAAATTACTTCTGTGTGGTTTAAACTTTTTTTTTTAAGTATTATGAATGAATACCTGTTTTTTTAGTTGCTATGACACTTTGTAAGTGCACCGCACAGTAGCAGAAAATTGTCAAAATCCTTCTGAAATCTGTTTTGAATAATAATACAAGAAATGTTTTCTTTGTTTGGAAACAGGAGCTTGTAAACCTTATAAACAATAATCGAGTAACTGTGATAAGTGGTGAAACTGGTTGTGGAAAGACAACCCAAGTGACACAGTTCATCTTGGATGATTATATAGAACGAGGAAAAGGGTCTACGTGCCGGATTGTTTGTACTCAGCCTAGGAGGATCAGCGCCATCTCGGTAAGTGCCATTTTGACGGACTAACTAATTTCTTGTGATTTCCACACCCCACCCCCCCCAGTAAATATGAGGAAGAATAACTGCCTTACTCAGTATCACTGAATGAAAATATGTTTCTTACTGGGCCTAGGACCCATGGGCAAGCTTACGAACTGAGTGTGTGATCTGCTGGGTTATGTGAAGTTCAGATCTGAAAGAATTCCAGATGACCTCTCAGAGAAACTGCTCTGCTGTCAACCGTACTCATCCTAAATTTAAAGCTCAAGAGAAGCATTCAGCCTGTAGTGGACAATGAAGATGGCTTTTTGTATATTCGTTTTCAGTGCTCTCAGATTCTATTGCAAATCACAATTTTGTTAATATACACCAATTTGATATTTCCTAAGTTTTGGTTGTTAATAGAGCACTGGCAGTGCAAGCCTCACTCTTCCCTGAATTTAGTCATGGTTTATATCTGTGATTTTAACGGATTTGGGCAGTGCAAATGTGAATGAAAGTAAACACTGTTGTTGAGTCAGGCCTTTTAGAAGTCCATTAATGAACAAGAAAGAATTTAGCTTTTAAGTGCAGGGCAATTACTCTTCGTGATAGCTAAGTATCAAATGATTAGAGAACCTTACTTCCCATGAGGAAAAGCTCACCCTGTTGAAAGGGCGAGCGTATTCCTAATGCTGAAATGGTTGTGTTCGTTTAAAACATGTCCTGGGTCGCAAGCCTGTTCTTGGGTTGCTGACAGGAAACGCTGTTCTCGGTGGAGGAGAAAAGGTGGTTTTCGGGGTGTTCCTTTGCGTAACATCTTGTTTCTAAGTGTTTCCTGCTAAAGAGTAGCTAAATCCCAGGTCAGCATTGTGGGATTTAAAAAAAAAAAAAAAAAACAAAAACCAAAAAAAACCCAAAACCCCAAAACATTTTAATGCACTAGTTTGATTTTATTTATGTTTCTAAGGTGGCTGAGAGAGTTGCTGCTGAAAGGGCAGAAGCCTGTGGTAATGGCAAGAGTACAGGATACCAAATTCGTCTACAGAGGTAAGAGAGGCTCCCTTGGCCGTTTTTGTGCATTCACATAAAGTAGTATCTATTGTCATTCAAGCAAGAAAATTTGAAAAGTAGTTCTTAACACAGGTGACTGCTTTCATCCTAATATTTTCTCCAGGAGGAATTCCTGTGAATAGCTGGTGTAGTGAATCAGGCTTCTGAAAGTTGGCAAAAAGTTTGAGTGCGCCAACTGTATTTTATGCAACGTGTAACAATGGCTAGCACCAAGTTGTCTAGTTGTGGTCCCTTTTTCAGCTCTTCTAAAAGGTTCTGCTATCCATAGAGATAAAACTGATGTCACTAATCCGTGAATTTCAAGGAAAAATGGAAATGCTGAAGGAGGGAATGCTGTAAGCCATATTTCTGGGGAAAATTATGTATTTGCTACACTTAGGTATTGAGTAATCTCCCTGGGATCGGGTAATAACGTTAGGTGCATTGACAAGAGTTCGTAGAGCTAACACCATAGAGCAAAAGCTATTACATTTGGAATGATGAATGATTTAAAAAAATAAATCTGAGATGTTATCAGCAGATAACAATGTCAGTTATCATTGAGGAAAAACTGCTGGTGAGAGACGACAGCTTAATCCTTTCAGCATTTTAATTTGAGTTTATAGAATTGTATTTATATTCTTCTTTACAATCAAGCATGTTACACTGCTGTATATTCAGCTGTCATTTGTGCTGAGCTTGGATAGCTACAAGAATTTGGGGTCAGCAGAGCGATGTGCAAATGATGAAAAATTGTGTCTGGGAAGTCAGGGCTTCTGTCAGATTACAAGGAGTTCATTCCCTGTCAGCAAAAGTGCTGCAACTGTGGCCTAATTCTTTGTTCCACCGATTGAACTGTAAGTGAGCAAGTTAGAGAATGAGGCGTATTTCATAATGTCTGTAATGACTGTCTGCATTTCGATTTCAAGCTTTTAAAGTACTTTGTGAAATGCAGAAGAGAACTGAGGAATTCTTAATCTATCTCTTTCAGTCGGTTACCAAGGAAACAAGGTTCAATTTTATACTGTACCACAGGAATCGTCCTGCAGTGGCTCCAGTCAGATAAGTAAGTTTTCCTATTTAATAGGAAGCTGAATACAATTATAAAATGACTTGACTACTGAGCTGTTTCTAACAGTCTCGGCTCTGTTTTTTTAATTTTGCTAAACAAATTTTTAACTTCCTGCTCTTCTATTTTAGGCACTTGTCCAGCATTAGTCATGTAGTCCTTGATGAAATTCATGAAAGAAACCTTCAGTCAGATGTTTTAATGAGTATTATTAAAGATCTTTTGAATATTCGTTTGGATCTGAAAGTAATACTAATGAGTGCTACTTTAAATGCAGAGAAGTTTTCGGAGTATTTTGGTAGGTGAATACTTCCTATAAATGTTCCTCTGAAGTAATTTAAGCTTCTACAGTATAATGCAGTTCTCAGATTTTAGGGTTGATTTTTATCAAAAGAGGTAATGATGTCAGTTTTACAAATAGTTGCCAGCTGCTGGAGATGCTTATTCCCTTTGTTTTATCTCCTCATGAGCATATGCTGCTTCGTTATTTACTTTTCAGACATATTGTGGGAACAGTATCTCCAGAGTGTTTTCATACTAAACATTTACTAATATTTACCATATTTTAGAAGTCTCGGTGTGAGTGGGCAACCAGATTGAAGCCTTTAGTTGTTCATTCTTCCAGCTTTGTCCTGTAGCTGGCACCAGATGAACATGCTGGAGAACAATACGCTGCTTGCTACCTATGCTTTTTTTTATTCAGCAACTGTATTTGGAATTGAATTTGGCATCTTCTGTGAGAATTTAAAAATAAACATAAAAACCAAATAGTGAAGGATGCTTATTGCCTCTGTTATTTCAGTACAGTATTTTATTTGCTGTTTGAAAACTGAGTTATGCCTTCCTCCACAGATAATTGTCCAATGATTCACATACCCGGGTTCACTTTCCCTGTGGTGGAGTATCTGCTCGAAGATGTAATTGAGAAGTTGAGGTAGGTGTCTGAGCACTGTTATAGGTAGTGTTTTGGAGTTTTTTGCTTAGTAGGTCTTTTCAAAGATAGTCTTGGTATAAATAACCTCTCAAAGAATTAGCTGTGTTTTTCAACAGAAAACCTTCCAAGGGAAGTTTAGTAGCTTTTACAGTAATTAGAAGGGGCACATAGCTACTGGAACTGTTGGCTTGAGGAGGAAAAGAGCCTGGTCTTTTGGTGTGGTGAACTTTCAGGCTGCAGAATCAAGCTAGTCTTTCTGTTTGTTCACACTTTTTTACACGTTCTCATGCTTACTAGAGATGGTACCTGTTTTTAAAAGTAAGACTTCTTTCAGAAAAGAAACTTAAGAATCTTATTTACATGGTATAGCTAAAGCGCAGCATGTCATCCATAGTTCAGAAAACTGCTGTGCAGCTGGCTTCAAATTACTTTAGCTTCAAAATCTAATTATGTTTGTTATTTAAATTTAAAGGTATACTCCAGAAAACACAGACCGTCGGCCACGGTGGAAGAAAGGCTTCATGCAAGGACATGTAAGCAGACCAGAAAAAGAAGAAAAAGAGGAAATCTACAGGGAGCGATGGCCAGACTACTTAAGGCAGCTGCAGGGCAGGTTGTTCTCGAGTTACTCTTTTGCTTTAAGTTTTTAGGCACTTCTTAACTGAGAAACACAAATTAGTGCTGTATTCTATTACCGTGCTTCTATTAATGATGTGATAGTTGCTGCTGTGGAAGGCAATAATGATGGAATAGCCAGCACAGTTGGCTGGTGACCGCCAAAGTACTTTGGAGTTGTCACAGAGAATTCGCTTCCTTTGCGTGTAAGAGAACTTACGGCTCTGAAGTTGCTTGCCTTTTATGGTGGTATTGTCTGTTACAGTCTTCCAGCATAATGTTAGGCTTCTTGAGCTTTGGTTGTTAGTTCTCTTCTGACGAGTTCTCCTCTTCTTCAATCCTTCTCTTCAAGAGAGATTTCATGGTAGTTTAGTCTTGTAATCAACATAATACAAAATGTACTTTTAAAAAAAAAAAAAAAATTAACACAACCAAACAAAACCCACACAAACAAAAAAAACACCCCACCACAAGTTTTCCTCATTTTAATATTGCCCTAGAGTGGTTTAAAAGCAAGCTAAATAATTTTGCCTCTTGAGCACCTGGTAGAGATTGTCCACTTGAAACGTTCTTTTGATTGCCAGCGTTTGACTACTTTGGTGGTCTGGATATGTTGATTAATTGGATAGCCTGGCAGATTTCTTTCAGGACCAGCATCTTCCTGTTTTTCTCCTGTCTTTATTTGCCGTCTGCATTTTGGGACTTTCTGTATATCTGGCTTGGTAACGGTAAGGAATGTAGGTGGCTCAGTTTTATCTGCCTTTTCCAAGGGAGAAGTCCTCAGTGCTGTGTTTGGCCTATTCCATACTCTGCTCGTCCCATTTGTACTCCTCCTCCCCTTCCCCACCATGTCTTTTGGACCACGTAGCAGTTCTTCCCCTAGCGTTAGCTTTCACCAGATCAGCGGGCTGAACAGAAGAGATGCCTTCTGTAGTCACTCGGAGTGAGAGATAAACTGAAGGGTAAAATCAGATTGTTTAGGTCCGAGGTGATCTATGGGGAGGAGAGAGATCATGTAAACACTTCACGCACAGTTCAGTCATAACATGGCAATTCTTAAACTTCCTATTCTAAACTGGCAAGAATTGCACTAAACTAACTCTCACACCCATAGTGGAGGTAGGATAACTGAACAGACAAAGAAATGAATTGAACAGTAGTGGGTTACGTAGATGTGTGATTGCAGAGCCGTACGACAGAAACTCGAGCGCGTGACTTGGTGTGTGAGTTACCAGTGCGTGTGCTCTCAATGCCTGTAGGTATTCAGCAAGTACCATCGATGCCTTGGAAATGATGGATGATGACAAGGTCGACCTTGACCTTATAGCAGCACTTATCAGACACATCGTTTTGGAAGAAGAGGTACGTTTCTGTCTCCTGTCAACGCGTTTTAATGATGTGACTGAATTGTTGTCAGTGGCTGTTGGGAGTGTCAGAGCTGAGAGTTATTTTGGCTTATCATACAGATGTAAAGAAGACGACTTTTCTGTTGTGCTCTTCTGAGAAGGAATCTAACAGCTTTAAATATCTGATTACTATTTAAGCCCTGAATTTAGAATGTGATTGGTTACGGTGTTTATTGAAATGATGGGACAGAATCAGTGTTTAAAAGGGAGCACACATCTAAGTATTTTCTTGAATTCGGGTTGTGGGTATTAAGGAGAGCTATGTACATAAACCTGGAAAACTTAGAAATGTCTTGATGTGCTCATTTATGGTCCCTTCTGAGCATGGGGTGAAAAAGAGCCTGAATTCTTTCACTGACAGGAGGGTTTGTCGTGTAAGTAAAGCAGGGTAGATAGCTGAAGGTTGGGGTGCCATTTTGATTCAGATGGCTGCATTTTGTTCTTTTGGCTAAGCTTTTAAATAAGCCTTTGAATTAATTATACACCTCAGTTATTTGACTGGAAGTAAGATAATTGCAAATTTAATTTAACCTTTAGTTCTTTCTGTGACTCTGTTTGTCAAAGGTAGTATTCTTTGTAGTCTGTAGTGAAAGTTACGTTTTGTGAAAGAGCTGTAGAAGACTGTCTGAAAACCTCTTTAGGGTACAACAAAATCTCTGTTCTTAACTCCTCAGCAAGGGGAGGGAGAGGTCAAGAGCAGTACTTAATTGATGCGCACTGCCTGACGCCTACACTGTGCGGTTGGCTCTAATGGTTTTTCTGCCTCTAATGGTTTTTCTGCCTCAGTAATCTAAACATGACTTAGATGCTGTGGAGACCGCATTTTTATACAGCCGAGCAAAAGCCTAGTGGCATGTACCAAACGCACAGCTAGGAGACTCTTCCAGCTTGTCAAGATGAGTAGTTAATACAGATGCCTTAGTAGTTATCCCCAAATGTGCCTTACCTTGTTATTGAGTAACAACATCATCAGAATATTAATATCAGAAGGATCTTGTGCTTGAAGCAGTGACGAACACGAAGTAAGAATAGCTTCTGTTACCATAGGTATAATGTATGTAGATTGCCATAACCTGAAGTTATATATTTGTTTCTGTGTTCAAAAACATCTGTGGGCGAGCTGACACCTTGGCTGATTCCTTAAAGAGAATTTGGATTATTAAAAATATTAAATCATTTAATATTTCAGTTGATAGGTCATTTAAGGTGTGGATAATGAGGATGAGTTGCCGTTCTGTATTTTGTTCTTCCTGTGTTGAAAATTGTATATTAGTTTGCGTTTTATTTGCAGCTCGAATTCTTCTAGTGTTGAAATCTTTAAAACACTCGGGGAAATATGTTTAAAATAAAATTGTTATTTATTACATTCAGATAAATATACGTAGCTAACTCTTACGTAGAAAACAATCTTAGAAGCATTGTTCCAAATGTGAGTCAGCAGGGCTTCAAATATCACCTATCCACCATAGATGTGTCACTCTGCAAGTAGCTCGTTCTTTGCACAGCATATAATTTACTCTGACCTCTTTTGCCTTCGCTCCCTCTTTTATATACAGGATGGGGCAATTCTCGTGTTTCTTCCAGGCTGGGACAACATCAGCACTTTGCATGATCTCTTGATGTCACAAGTCATGTTTAAGTCAGGTAAAACCAAAATTTGACATGGGAATTCTAGCAATAGTGTTAGTGGCAAACTCTTTATTTTTGCATGTGATTGCTGGCGTTGCACTGGATTGATTTTTTTTTTTTTTTTCCTTGTCTCTCCTCTCAAAATGATTGCAGTGTGTTCAGCACTTTTTGCCTTTCTCTGCTATCTTTCGTCTGCTAATGACAACTCATTTCACTCAGCGCAGGAGTGAACCATCTGAAAAAGAATCTTGGACCTGCATCTGTTCCTCTTTGTCCTTTCTTGTAGCTATGATCACTTCCATCCAAAACTAAATTCTTTCTTTGTTCTGCGTTCGCTTCCTCTTTTCCTGATTCTTCAGCAGCTTCTGTCTACTGCTTTGCCGATAGTTCTTTTAAATCTTGTTTACTCCTAGAAGTTTCTTTAATAGGACACTAAAATACCCTGTGCCTGTCTGAGACACTTTAATTTGCCCTGTTTACGTAACTCATATTTTCATCTCACTTGTTGAACTGTGCTCTTGACTATTCAGATAGCTGTCGTACAGTTCATGTTGTGTACGTTCCATAGATAATGCATTTCAACTTACTGAACGATTGAGAGTGTCAGTTTGTTTATTAAACTCGAGGAATTATTTAATAACTTGAGAATTTAAAAATGAAATATAAATTACATAACTTCATACATTTTCTTAAATTTTTCAAGTCGTCATAGCGTAATAAAAAAGTTCCTTTGTACCTTTTTACTTTAGAATTTGTCGTTATGATACTTACACTTGTAAATTCAGAATAAGGAAGAGTAGACTGACTTGCAGCATATTTTCTCTATTCTGCATAGTTGGCTTCCCTGTAAAATTAAAGTTTCTGTGCTTACACTGTATCTTTTATGGATTTTTAATTTTCAGATAGGTTTGTTATCATACCTTTACATTCATTGATGCCTACTGTTAACCAGACACAGGTACGCTTTTATTGTAATATTTCACAAATACAAAAAAAAAAAAAAAGCAAGCATATTTTTGTTTGTGTGGCAAACGTATAAATGGGCCATGGATAATTACAGGTTTTTAAGAAGACCCCGCCAGGAGTAAGGAAAATCGTGATTGCTACCAACATTGCAGAGACTAGGTAAATAGCGAGCTATACAGACCAAAAAAAGCTATACGTTTAACAAAATTGGTAATCTAAAGCATAAACCTGTTTAATGTTCCCAAACTGTATGTTTTTTGTGTCTGTACCATTCATTTGTAACACCTTATATTTAGAAATGTTTGTAGCCTAAACATGAGTTTTCCTTTCATTGTTTTAAACAATTAAAACACGGATGTTACTATAAAGGCTGGCCTTTGTGTGTGATAAATCTGAGCTGCCTACCCTCTCTGCAGCCTTCGTAACCCCAGGCGGTGACTTTCGCCAGACCTAGGAGAATAAATCAAGCTGTTTCTTGAACTGCTTAGTAATGTAATTCTTAGTGAAATTTCAAACACATATCTTTTTATTGTTGGCTCACAGTTTGGGAGGGGGTAAAGAGAGGCTAAACCCCTTTGAAGTCCTAGGTCAGGCTTGCAAAGATGAAGAGTTGCATTTTTTCTCTCTTTTTTTTTTTTTTTTTTTTAAAAACAGCATTACAATAGATGACGTCGTGTTTGTTATAGATGGTGGAAAAATAAAGGAAACTCACTTTGACACACAGAACAACATTAGCACAATGGCAGCAGAGTGGGTTAGTAAAGCAAATGCCAAGCAGAGGAAAGGTCGAGCAGGAAGGTAAGAAGAATGGGGATAGTTAGAAATGTTTTGTGACGTTAGGTTTCCGTCAGTCATGGAGCACGTGCGTGTTGAAGATACTACTTTGTATTTCATATGCTCAGAAGCAGATGCTAGCACAACTGTCTCTTGTTCTTACGGAAAGAAGGGTTTGTTCATTGTTCTAGGAAATGGACTCAACTTGTGCTGCGTTTAACTCAAGAGTTTCCCTCCTTCTTACAGGAGAATAAGTCCTGCATTTCTTTAAATTTCTGTGGGTAGTGTTTGGTTTCACACTTGATTTATGAGGCTGTGACACATTAAAGTGAAAAGTGCCTACAAATTAATATCACTTAGCTGTATAGCAAATTTTTTTGAAATTTCTCTCCCACTTAAAACACCTTGTGGAGTATTTTTCTCTCTTGTTCAGACTAACAGTTCTGCTCTGGTCTCTTCATTACTCCTTTTGAGCAATTGGTAGGAGGTTTCTGTGTTCCGCATGCCTTTGTTCCTGGTGATGGGTCTGTTTCAGAAAGCTGAAATGGCTTTTGCTATTGAATACACTTCAGTTCTGTTTTCTTGAGGTGTTTTGGAAAGCTGTTTATCAACAAACACAATCATAATGTCACAGTGTCATAGGAAAAAAAAAGCAAACCAGTTGTTTTACTTAAATAATTTCAGAGTTCAGCCAGGCCATTGTTACCATCTGTACAATGGACTACGTGCTAGCCTGCTGGATGATTATCAGTTACCAGAGATCTTGAGGACACCTTTGGAAGAACTCTGTTTACAAATCAAGGTAAACATACGGTTTTTCAAACATATTTATGATTTACTTTTCCATTGTAATGAGAGGCTGAGAGGTTAAATTGATGCAACTGTGAGCCTAGGGTTGTCTTTGAGTCAAAATTCCATTACACCAGACAGATATTTAGTTAATAATTGGAGCAACTTTTGCAGAATGTAGAATGTAAAATTGCATGCTATATCTAGCTGCATCAAACCCAGCAAAAATGGGATTGTCTAGTATAAATAAACGCCGAAGTCTATCAACAAAAATTTGGACTGTGCTTCCCCCCTGCCCCTCAAATACCATTCAATCAAAGGAGCTTCAGTGAGTGTCAGTAAGTCCAGGGGTATGATGTCTTAACAGAATTGTGCTAAAGAGTAGGTTTAGAACTGACAGGAGTTTCCTTTTTGGCAGTTTGTGTTGAATGTCTTAAGCATGCTTAAGGAATACCATGTGTATGCGTGCTGAATGAAGAACAGATCCTTATGTTTCAGATTTCAGCATTAATACATCTTTATTTTTGTCCTTAGTTCTTAATCAGTGAAATTCTAACTCAAGCTGTGAATTATTCACACTTTTTTAGTTAGTGTGGTTACTGCTTACTAATGTTAGGTAGCCATCATTCTCCAATTGCTGCAGGTTTTGGGAGTGTGGTTTTTTTTTCTTTCAGATTCTAAGGCTTGGTGGAATTGCTTATTTCCTGAGCAAACTGATGGACCCACCATCTCGTGATGCTGTAATGTTGGCCATAAATCATCTAATGGAGCTGGTAAAGTACTGCTTAATGTACATGCAAGGAACAGTCTGTTTAGAACCACGTTACTGTGTTGTTTGTTGTCAGACAGTTCTGACTGTGTTTGCAGCCCCTTATCGTATTGTGTAGACCCTTTATATATCCTCACTGAACAGAGGAAGTAATTTCACATCATACGTGGTGTTTATGGCTGCATAGAGTAGCTTCTGAGGAACTTTCTAAATGACTCAAAGCATTTACATGCACCTCGCACTGAAGTTCCCTACGGATACTTGTTTAACTTGCTGCTTCTGTGAGACCCTGCTCGTGGCTGGAGCCAACAAACCGTCCTCTCCCCGTCAGCACAGGGGAGGGCGGGTGCAGGAGAAAGGTCTTGCATGTTTTTGCCCCTTTGGATGCTGGGGAAGGAGCAGTTAATGACACACTTGTACTGCTGACTTCTGGCCCTGGTATTATTTGTACAAATCAGTTGTAGCAATAAATGGAAATACCTGATTTAGATGAGGGACAGTATTTAGACTGATGGCACGATTCTATAGGTGTTTAGATAAAATTAAAGTTCAGTTGTACATTTGGTGTTCTGTGACAGTGCTGTATAGTAGCAAAGGGTAGAGTAAATAAACACAGAAGTGATACTGAGGGCGAGATACAAGTCTGAAAATAAGCTTGATCAGGAAACTAGAAAGACACTGAAGTGTTAGTAATTCTTCATACTTTCATCCAGAAAGACACTGAGCACTAGTAAACTGCCTGAAACACAACTAAAGGTGGTTGCCATTTTTGTGGATCTAATTGACCATTTCAGTGTCTCCATGACTTGCCTGATCGCTTTCCTGCCGTACCTTATTCCCGGTAGCTGCGCTCTCCAGCTATTGGGCTTTCCTTTGTTCTCTCGGTGTGCTACTGGCTATTTCAAGGAAATCCTCTCTTTTTCAGATACTGTGGTGATTCTTTTTTCTTTTTTTTTCTCTTCCTTCTGACAGAATGCTTTGGACAGACAAGAAGAACTGACGCCGCTGGGTGTCCATTTGGCACGATTACCAGTTGAACCGCATATTGGGAAGATGATCCTCTTTGGAGCTTTATTCTGCTGCCTGGATCCAGTACTTACAATTGCAGCCAGCCTCAGCTTCAAAGACCCCTTCGTCATTCCACTGGTAAAGTTTCTAAAAGGAGAATGACACATAGTATTTTAAGAATCTCAGAAGGATATTGGGACTTACTGAGAGAGTATAGTTTAGAAGCGCTTTAATCTTATGTTAATTACACTTTTATTGTAAAAGATTGCCTTCACATACTATGAAGTATTGTCTTTGCCTACAGAGTAGTGGAAGTAGCTTTGATTTTCGTGTATGTAGCATACAAAGTACTGCTGTATATATGTCCCTTAATTAGGAAAAGAGACTGGCCTGTCAGTCATGAATATTTCATAGGTTCTAATTATTCTTAGGGCAAAGAGAAAGTAGCAGATGCAAGAAGAAAGGAACTGTCAAAGAACACTAAAAGTGATCATCTCACTGTGGTGAATGCTTTCACGGTAGGCATGTTTTAATGTGTTTTGGTTTTTTCTTCTAGAATTTTGATTTGATAATACAGGTTATTCTGAGGAAAAAAAAAAATGATTAGTTTACGCTCCGAAGTACTTCTGTCTTGGCTTCTACAGAAACATAAAACCAAATTAATTTTCACCCTTCTAGTGTCGAGGAATCTTGTCTCAAGGCTGAATAGTGTCATTTCGTGTGAATAAGTCTATGAAACAGACAAAGAAGATATAATGTTGTCATTACCTTGCTGAGGTCATTAATTCTTGTCTTTCCAGCCTCTACAAGAGGCTGAAGCTGGCTTCAAAATTGTTGGAGATTTAGCTGTATGGTGTTGGGGCGAGAAGAAAAGGAAATAAATGGCCTGGAATGCAGCTTCTACCCAGGACTTACTAGCAACAAATGAAATTCTGGCAGACTTAGCTAGATTTCACTCCTCACCATGGGAAAAAGGAAGTTTTTAATTCAAAATGTTGTAAAGTTGAGTTTTTCTACTCTGTGCTGCATATATATGTGTGTGTGTGTGTGTGTGTGTGTGTATATATTTAAAGAAAGAGATCAAAGTATTTACTTTCTCTCCTGTAGAGAAAAGCGTGACTGTATTGACCTCTCTTTTTTGCTGTCCTTAATCTTTTAGTATACATTTGCTTACAAACGCCTTTGAACTATGGTTTTCATTTTTAGGGCTGGGAAGAGACTCGGCGTCGTGGTTTCAGAACTGAGAAGGACTATTGCTGGGAATACTTCCTCTCTGCAAATACACTCCAGGTAGCATCCTGATAGTTTAAAAAAAGAGGATCGAGTCTGAGGGGAAAAGGGGAGGAGCCTTTTGGCACAGCGTTGTTCTGGGACCATTTTTGTTGTTTCCTAGATGCTGCATAACATGAAAGGACAGTTTGCTGAGCATCTCCTTGCAGCTGGGTTTGTGGATAGCAGAGACCCCAAGGATCCCAAATCTAATACCAACTCAGGTAAACGCTGGAAGGAAATGGAAAATTTCTGGTAGCTGAACTCTCCAGATCTGCGTTATTTACTTTGCTGTCTTCTACAGATAATGAGAAGTTGCTCAAAGCGGTCATCTGTGCTGGTTTATATCCAAAAGTTGCAAAGATCCGGCCAAGCTTCAGCAAAAAGAGAAAAATGTAAGGGTTTGGTTTAATGTTGGTTTGCATTCGAGGCGTGTTCTACATGAGGTTGTTTGTCAAGGTGAAGCGGTGGCTTGAGTGTGTGAATGACTGCAGCTCAATCACAGCTGTGGGTTACTTCATTTGAGAAGGGCAGATGAGAGTACGGGATTGTTGGTCTTTACTTTGCCTAACACTTGGATACCTGCAGGTCGGTGAAATAATTTGCCACAGATAATGTTAAAATAGATTAACACTGCTGCTAAAGGAGTCCTACCACCATCTTTGACCTGCAGCAGCAGTTGAGACACTATCCTTTCTTATAATTTGGCAACATAGAATCCAGAAATTCCCATCTGTTGATTTATCACTACTTATATCATCAGGCTGTTTATTCATATTAACTGTTACAGTAACAGTATGCTGATCAGAATACAGACATCCTTCGTTATGGACCTGATTTAAGACAGAATGAAGGGCTGAACATTTGGATCGATTTTTCTGGGGGTGCAATGTCGAAAACAGCAAGCTAGGAGCAATTATTATACCTGTAACTAAAAAAAAAACAAGCAAAAAAACCAAAAAAACACAAGTGATGATTTCTGTGAAGGGAATCAGACCAGGTAGTCAAAACTACCTTAGACTGGGCGATTTAGACCCGTTTGTAGCTGACACTGCTAGTTAGTTGATATTCCGTTTTAAACTGAGTCCAGTGTGCTCGAGTCGCCTAAAGGACGCGGTAAGTTTGCAAACCTGGTGCACGTTACTGAGTCGTTGTATCTCTTCTGCATGGCGGAGCTAGGTGTGAGCCAGCTGCTCCACTGAGCAAGGGCTTTGTTACACTTAACTGCTTTGTCGGGGAGGCTCTTCCAAAACACTGAACTCCGCGTTTTGTGAAATACCTCTGCACACGGCGGGTAGATAGCTCCGTGATATGCACCCAAAGAATTACATCTCTGAAATGTGGGAGGCAGGAGGACAGTTGTATTTCATACTTGCCGTGCTTGGTTTTTGCTTTTTACTGTCTGATGGTACTGTTACATTAGAAGGGAAATGCAATTTCGGTAGTAAGCATAACCAAAAGAGTTGAGTGTTATCCCTTGAGTCAGTTCTGTTCAAGGGCACGTGGTACAAACAGAGGTTCACCATCTGAACTGGCTGACGGTGGTATGGCTAGTCCCTTCTTCCACGCTGACACCGCTTAACACTCCGCAAAGAATTCAGATGTGCAAGTTCCTTACGCAGTTTTTCCAAGAAGTTGCTTGAAACTTGGTTTGTGTAACCAAATTCAGTGTCCTTCACTGGAAAAATAATGCTGGTATTTTTTTCTACTTGAGAGTACTACAGGGTATGTTAAGGGGGTAAATTTGGCAAAGAATTCAAACCCCTTAAATGCAGAGATGTCTAAAAATTCTTACTGTAGATTCAGCTGTAATCTTTTGGGAAAGGAGTTAAAGTTTCTTCGAATGCCCTTGTACTTTCACAGTTTAGAGCACCAGTGGATAACTGGAGGGTTTTTTAACTTGGGACATGATTGTGCTAAACTTTGAAGATCTTATTTCAATCCTAAAATAAAAATTTCTTTTCTTTTAAGGGTGAAGGTTTGCACCAAGACAGATGGAACAGTTAATATTCATCCGAAATCGGTTAATGTGGAAGAAACAGAGTTCCATTATAACTGGCTTGTCTACCATTTGAAGATGAGAACTAGCAGTGTATGTGACGGCTTATATCGGTGTCATGTATTTTTGTGGCTCTTTAATAAGGTTGGATTGAGGTTCAGAGGGGATGTGAACAGTGCCTTTGTCTGAAGCCTTCCTGTCTTGGCTCATATCTGTTACATGCCATCAGATTATGTTATCTGAGGAACAAAACCAGCAGTATTACAATGTACTAACTTGTGTTTTTTTGGTTGTTTGGAGGGGGGTTGAGGTGTGGCTTTTTTTAAAGGCTCTGGCAATGACAGGTGTAACTGTTTATTATTATATTTTTGATACAGTGTAGCACTTTTAAATATGCTAAAAAAATATGTTTTCCTCTGTTATGAAATAGTTGGTTTAATTTCGGCAATTTGTGTGAAGGACACTATTTGGGACCATTTTTGCTCCTGTTTAATCTGATTTCGTGTAACTTTTAGAACCAAGTTGCTTCGGATAAGTCTTGCAAATTTGTGACTGAATAATGATCTGAAATTCTGTTGTGAGTTTCATTAAGGGTTACTGATGTCACTCGAAATGTTTTGAAGGGTGACTGGACAATTTTGTCTTCTTGCAGATTTACTTGTATGATTGTACAGAGGTCTCTCCGTACTGTCTCCTGTTCTTCGGAGGAGATATATCCATTCAGAAGGATAAAGACCAGGATACCATCGCTGTGGATGAATGGATTGTTTTCCAGTCTCCGGCAAGAATAGCGCACTTAGTTAAGGTGACCATGTTTAACAGTAATTTGCGTGGAAGACTTGGTGTAACACTGATTCTTCTTAGAGATTTCTATGTTTGATATTACTGTGTACCTACTGATTTATCACTATAGGTAGAAAATAATCTTTTAAATGTAGTCCCAATAAGCTGTGCGAGTAAACGGAAGAGATCTACAGAAGGTGTCTAGATAAATGCAAGTTAAAATGCAGTAGTAAAAACAACATTCTGGACAAGTCTGTATTGCATGGTAAACTGGGTAGAAGTAAATAGTTCTTTACTCCCTCATGTTTGGCCTCAGGAGCAGGCACTCAGACCTTTTTTTTTTTGTTTGTTTGTTGGTTTCCAATATAATAGCTTGACTGATGAGGATGAGGCTGTGTGCTGGCTGAGGTATCGGTAATATGATGGCAATGGTCTTGTTCAGCTGGTGCAGCCTCTGCTGAAAAATTAATAGGGATATTGAAAAACTAGAAGCTTTAGAGAAGAGTCATCAGGTGGCTTCAAAGGATCTATAAACATGTCTTACAGCGAGAGATTTGAAGAAGAGCTTAATCTCTGTAGTTTTCCGTAGCAAAAACTGTAGGATGACTTGATCAGTCCGTGCAGTGGCCACACAGATACGGAAACGTGAGGATGGGGCTCTACAGCGAGCAGTAATGAGCTCCAGTGGAAGGAGGAGCTGTGTAGTGCTCTGTGTAATATTAGACCTTAGAAATCATATCTGATTTCTTTTTTTAAACCCAAATATTTTTAATCCTGAAATAGTCAGCTAATGGGTGCAGTGGCTATTAAAGGCCATCACATCCAGAGATGGTCATCTGTCACAAAAGGTAAAACTGCTGGTTTTTGAGAAGCAGCTTTTGATGCTGATGATAGCAATGTTGAAATTATTTGACAGGAGAACACCAGGTGTAAAGATCAGGAGAACAGAGGGCCCAAGGGGTTTGAACTTACTGTAGTAATGTTGTTGTGTGTAGCTCTAACTGCTTGTCTCTTTTTTTTTTTTTTTTTTCTCTTCTTTCTTCATTCCGATAAACTCTGCAGAATTTAAGACAAGAGCTCGATGATCTTCTAAAAGAAAAAATAGAAAATCCCCATCCCGTGGACTGGAATGATACTACATCCAGGGATACAGCAGTACTGACAGCTATTATAGACTTAATCACAACACAGGAGAATGAAAGTACCAGAAACTATGCTCCGCGATTCCAGAGCGAGCGCTTTAGTTGACACACTTTCGTCTGTATCGATAAAGCCAACATATTCACCTTTTTGTGTTGTTTTTTTAATGGCATTTATTTAGCTGGAGGAAAGACTTTTTTTTAGGGTGAGCTGGTAATTCCCTCACACTGAAGAGCAGTTATTTCAGAATAGTTGGCAATATCTGTATATGCATGGTACTCTGTTCAGTGTAGCTTTTTAAATAGGAGAAACACAGTGCTAGCGATGTGAGTTGTTGTATGGTTCTTGTCTTGCTGTAGCCTTTTTTTTTTTTTACCCATAAGGTAACAGATATTCGAAATACTGCTTAATAATAATTAACTGTCCTTGCTATTGGTAGAGACATCTCAAAAGGCTTTCTTTTTATTGGGGGTGGTGAGTAATTACACTTGCTGTGTTATTCCAGCTGTGCAGCAGTCTCCTCACCACCACTTCCACAGAAGGTAATTATAGCTTAATTAAACTAAGCTTGAAAACACTTGTTAAATTTGTGCAGTGGGAGGAAACAATCTTCAGAAATATTCTCCTCTTCTGCCTTTCATCCCATTGAATTAATCTTTCTTCACTTTCTGGGCCCATCCGTCACCACTGCTGACTAAAATTGCGGACTACAGGAAACATGGTTAGATAAAAGTTGTGGTGGAATAGGTTTCATTGCGTCCTCATTTTTCTTTTTTTTAACTAGTCTGTGTATGGCTTTATAGTATTACATTAAAAGTCTTTTCTTTAGAGTGTTACTTCATCTATTCTGAGTTACTTATGTTTTGGAGGTCATTCTATTTTGAATGCTTCCAGCTATGGAAGAACACTTGAATAACACGGCTCCTGGGGGATTTTGAGTAGGGCCAGCTTGTTTGGAGAAATACTCTTCTGATCAAACGTGCGTGAGGGCGGTTGCAGCCGTAGCCATGGTTATTTCTAGGTTTATCCTCGAGGAGCAAAGCTGTCGTGACGTGCGGAAACAAACTCCACAACTCACGGAGAGTTATAAAGCAGGTAAGTTTATTATGGCGCCGGGTGCAAGGGGGATCGCTCCTCCTCACTTCCACACCGTCACAAAGCGTGCACCTGTTTATTACAAAGCTTATCGAAGTGGGCTGGATTATTACAATTAGTTCTGGGAATAGGCGTGATTATTGTAATTATTTCCAGGAATTTATTATCATACTCCGCCCCTCTTTAGCGTTTGCGCGGTGTCGTCTGGGGGGGGTCTTCTGGATGAAGGCTTTAGTCTTCCTCGCTGTGTACTTTTCCTATTGGCCCAAACTGCTGAGTTCCAAGCTGCCAAACCAGTTTTGGCTAGAGGGGGGCTTCTTGTAGACAGTGGAGTTCTGGTTATCAGTCCTTACCAGTCCCTGTCTCTCTTACCTGGCACCAGTCCTTGTTATCCACACTTGAGCTCGCAGCGGTCCTGGTTAGCAAGGTTACAAAGAACTAATGATAAATACATAAAATAAATACATAAACTAAATGTCAGAGGTTTAATCCTTGCCTCAACATGGCTGCAAAGCTATATAACAAAACCAAACTATAGTGAAATTGAACTAAAAGTCAATTTTCCACATCAGCTGCGTCTGGGTTTGCTTACCTGGAAGCGTAACTCCATCTGCCCTTTTCTGGGCTTCGGTTTGGTTTCTGCTGCTTGGCGAAAACGGCCTTGGGAGGACTGTTGAGCCTCATCTGGAAGAAAACAGACCTAGTCAGGTAAACTTTTATTTATTTATTTTTTTTAATACAGAAGTGTAACTTGGTGACTGGCGTGGGGTTGGCAAGGAAGGGGGGACGCCAAGGTCGTTATTTCTACAACACAGCTGCAACTAGTTCAGCCTCCCTCCCCACCCCAGTCAGTTTATTATTTTACCCTCAGGTGCTGAAGGTGATGTTTCAGACGGTGAGGGAGGAGGAGGAGGAATGGCCTTGCCCTGGGTGTGGGGGACGCAGGAGGCAGTTTAAGGGGAAAGCAAAGGCTGTGGGGAAGGGGGGAAGCCGAGCCCGGGCTCCCCCCTT